AAGTAGCCTAAGCAGTATATTTGTGATGCTTAAATTTTCTGCCCTTCCCCTCATGTTCTCATGCTTCTTCGCATTGATTCCGGGGTGTTAGAAACAGTCGAGAGGGACTGTTTTTACTCGTGTGACATTATGTATACCGACACATTGGCGACCAGTGCGTTCTTGTGATTGATTGCTCCCAGCTTTTGTCAGTGATCTGGGAACTCATGGGGCTTACGCCGCAGTGATTTCAGGACATCAGGTAATAGAAGACTGCCGCTTAATTCTTTCAACTGATACAGGTGTGTGGGATTTGCTAGTCACTTTCGTCAGTCCAGTGGGTCCTGTGTGTAGGATTTGTAACCATTTTGTGTTGATTTATTTTGCCTGTCCAGGAGCGCCGTTAGAGATTGCGGCTCCATTCCCGTCTCTTGATCAGCGATCTCTGTGATCCGTATGTTAGCCGTGCAGAAAGACTGCACCTCCTCACCGTCGCCGGCCTCTTTCTTCACTCTTTGTCGGATAGGACCACACGCTGTGATCACTTACTCGTACCGCAAGAAAGAAGTTTTGGGTAGCACATAGATCACTCGAAGATTTGCTTGAGAAACTGTCATGACCCGGTCTGGTACTTAGATCTCACGCGGAGCGTATGCGTACCCGACTCTTGTCCCCAATACCAACGCGGTAGAGAAGGAGAACGCGACTGGTCACGAAAATGTGTATTAGGAAATTGCAAGTCAGGATTAACTGGAAGTAACGCATATTTATAACGCCCTACTGTGGTTCGCCTGCATTTGGTCCAATGCTCTTCGGGGAGAACATTCCAGGCGAGCTGGTCGATAATTCGAATGAGCAGATCGATCAGGCCCAAGGGGAAAAGCCAATGGATAGGCGCCACGATTAAGATGACAGCGCTGTAGGGAAAACACACGTGGCCTCCAGTGATTGGCTGGCTCTTGTTTTTGGGAGTGTAGGCACTCCCAGCACTCTCGACAATGCTGGGTCGAGAGGAAGTGATGAAATGGCCTGGGAAAAGCCCCACCAAAATTACGTTCCGTGCTGATTTCTTTTTTTACCTAGTTGATGTCAGCTGTATATCATGCCATGCTGGCTCTGTCAAGGGATTGTCTTCTTTGGGTCGTGGTGGACTCGCATAGGTAGTGCTTTCGAGTTACCACATCGGCGAACTTCCATGAAGAAGAATCGCGTATGCAATCCACCAAATCTGATACAGTAAGCTGACTGCCCCAGCAGGATTTTCTAAGTAATCCACCTAGAATCCACCAGCTGAATACCAGGCCCACGTAAGTAATAGGTTTACTAAATAATTAGTAGGCCGTACACAAGCCTTCCCCTTGTCCTCGACTGGTTGAATCCCATAGAGATCGCCGAGTTCTTCACAGTTGGGTGCAAATAATCTGCCAAATGGCAGTTCGACCGTCGATTTCGACGATGTCCACCGTGTGCTACACACCAAGGTACAACAGGTACGACGACTTGCGCGTGAATTAGTCTCTAGGGATGGTAGACTTGCACAGCATCTACTGCACTCTCTCCCCCCCCCACTCCCCACCCGGACCCAGTGTCAAGACAGAGGTAAGAAGACCGGGGACCGGGAGAGCTGTGCAGGTGGATGACACGGTCGAACCTGTACCTTGGCGTTCTACTCTACGTCCCCCGGTCCACACAGCAAATGACCAAATTTTTGACCAGCAGCAACAGCAGCAGCAGCAGCAGCAAAAACAACAACAACACCCCAACAGGGGTCAGAAGGACGAGGATGATGACTGGGCAGCCATGCCCACTACCTGCGTACCCAGCGGGATCGCAAGCGCATCTGCCGCCAAGGAACCAGATGCCAGGGAATTGTCGGCGCGCATACCAGGCTGCGATAGCATGGTTTGCTGATACTGGCGTGTCATGTGCTTACAGACCTTTTGACCTAGAAGGGCGACACGCGGTCCGGGTCGTCACCCTTCAATCTGCCAAACACCTATTAGAGAACCGTCCTGGCCACTAAAACACTCGCACCAGCAGCAAATTAGGCTTCTTGGAGATGCTGGACACTAGCACGGTGGTGGGATATTCCACTGCTCCTAGTGTGCTGTTTGGGCTTCCACAGTCGTAACCGCAGTACGGCCGACCTCTGAATGGCTATTCTGTTTCATTCTCATAAGATCAACGTTTCAGCGATAAGATATGGTTATGTAGCCGCACCTGATGGGAACAAAACTGTTGACCTGCTTTGAGTTGTCGTGATTACGTTGGCATGGTGTTGCTGTGCGTTGCGGCGTCTGTTCTGTTGACAGCCTTGTTTCTTTGTTGCCGTGTCTACTTTTTTTCGGCCCAATACCGGCGGTCCTTGACTTTCAGCCTGTTGTCTCCTCCTAACTTTCGCGTCGAAGGTTTTAGGGTTAGGGTTTAGGGCTGCAGTTAAGGGCTAGGGTTATGTGTGAGGTTAGTGTTAGGGGTTAGGGTTAGTGGTTATAGTTAGCGGTTGGGGTTACGGGTTAGGGTTTAGGGCACCTGTTTCTTAACCACTCAAAGTACAACCGCGCATTCCCAATAACTTTTCTTTTGAATACAATTATTTGACCTCGTCGCCTGTGCGTCCCCCATCCACTCCTGTAAAAACCCCCCTATTACCACCGGTCCCGTATTACGGGTGGGTGGGGTTTGTTTACGTCAGGTGCGGCTACATAACCACATCTGACCGAGCAACTTAAATGGCCCTTTGCGGTCGCAAGTGAATGCCAACATCGGGGAGTACCTGAGGGACTGGTGCGGCCAGTGACGGATGTCGTTACTTTGTACAGCTAGGGTGGGTGTTTGTCAGAGTGGGGCTGCTACCATACGCCCGAGGCGGGCTATTCTGCTGCCAGTTTCGGTTCTCCGCGGCAACCATCGCCAGTCCGGGCTGCACTTTTCTGAGCCTCAGTCACGGACCTATCTTGAGTCGGCACTGATGAACTGCTAGAAAGTTGCTAGTAAGCGGCCGCTTCTGGCGTGCAGATTTTTACACTGCCAAGTACAACGAGCATAATAAAAACGGCTACATGCAGCCACGAAGACTCCTTATTTGAAGACAGTCTTTTTTGCATTGTGACCCACTAAGACGTCGACTCGGTGGGGAAGTTAGGATGAGGCAGATTGGCATTACCATTCTGCCTATATCATGCGACGCTGAGCGGCTGCAGGTTGGGCTCGAGAGAGAGCCCGTAAGGCACAACCGAATGAGTGAGTTCCGTATGAACGATCGGTGAGCGCCTCCTGCCATTGTATATTCCCGATCGAAACCGACAGGGCAACGGGCTCGTGGCCCAGTGGTTAGAGGCGCGGACTTATAACTAACAGGTCGCGAGTTCGAGCCTCGGGTGTTCCACATTTCGCGGTTGGGTATGACTGGCTGACGACGGCTAATAAGCCAGAAATGGCCATTCCAGTCCCCCTTGTCTTTTTCGATAATACCATTCCGTCTATATCATGCGCCGCCGTGCGGCTTCCGGTTGGTTTCGAGAGAGAGCCCAACGGAATGAGTGAGTTCCGTAAGAACGATCGGTGAGCGCTCCCTACCAAAGTTTGAATGATTTTGGTAAGCGAAGCGGTAAGCAATGCCTTTTCCACCAAATTTTCATTAAAAAGCCTTTTCCAAGATAGTTACGCATGTCCCCGAATGTCTGTACACGCCTGAAATTTCGGAAAACCCTCATGGATTCGCTGTGACAGTCTGAGAATTTGACATAAGCGGACACAATCCTAATCTCGCTGGGCATCAGTAGACGAGTGTCTAATATTGGAAAATTCCCTCATCATTTTATAATCACAAACGTCCAACTGATACGATAAGAAAATAGAAAAAGGTTGGAATCTTTTTCCGCTTTCGTTTCTTGTAGAGCGTTAGTCTGCGGCTATTGTTTTATTTCATTTCTCATTTTTGCATGGTGATCCTCTCGATATGCAAGTCACAGCCTCGTACTTATTTATTCTCATGCTATCCGGCGTTTGTGACCATTAACGGCAGGTCCACTTTTTTGCGCTGAAAACTTCTAAACTGCAAAAAAGCGTAGTTTTACTCACCCTTGGCCTTCTCTCTCTCTCTCTCTCTCTCGCTCTCTCTCTGTCTACGGATGGCGGTGAAATGGCAAGACAGTTAAATTCGGCCTAAGACGACTTACAGGTCTTATTGTGGGATCGTGCTGCCGATAACTCCCTACATTTCGAAAGTCTTCCTCCAACACCGCGTACAGTCGTCTCGCGCCAAGATAGAGTAGGCAATTTGTTAAATTCAGGGAGACATCTGGGATCGAGGGGATGGACAAGGTTGGTGTGGGTCATATCAGGTCCTGCGGTCTTGTTGGATCTAGCCTCCGTGTGGGCAGTCTTCACTCCGTAGGCACAGACTTGGTGGACAGTCAAGCAGAACTTCTTTTCCATCGACTGATGCTTTAAAATGATCGTCACATTTATGCTATCTTGTGATCTGTGCTTAAGGTTATTGGTTTGCGCCTGTCATTGTTGTAGTTTTCTCAGGTTCTATTGTAAAAATCGGCCTGTCCATCAACAAGCACAATGACCTCCCGGTACCATATTCGGTGATGAGACATCAGTCACTTGGGGAGGGCGGGGGCGAGCAACAATCCCAGTGACAGCGGACCGAATGACCACGCCAACATCCAACATGCATGGTGAAATTGCGGCAATTAACGACTCGGACGCGGACTAACGAGCCATCATCGCATCAATTACGACCTCCAGTGGTGATAACGGGAGCTGTTAATTATAAGACCCACGTGGCCCCACGGCAACTATGTACTATAAATACTACAGTCTTTGTGCCGCCACTACCTTTATCTGCAACTGTCTCTGATGATGGGTTCGAGTGAGAATCCGAAACGCCAGGCCAATAAAGTTTTTGTTTCAGCGGCCATATCTTCTTCTTCTTCTTCTTCTTCTTCATCTTCATCTTCATCTTCATCTTCTTCTTCATCTTCATCTGCATCTTCTTCTTCTTCTTCTTCTTCTTCTTCTTCCTCTTCTTCTTCTTCTTGTTATTATTATTATTATTATTATTATCATTCTTCCTCTTCTTATTCTGTCCTGTTCACCTTTTTTCCTTTGTTCGGGAAAACTTTTTCATGCTGACTTTTGAAATCGCGTCCTTTTTCGACTTCACTGGAGGTCACTCCCTGTCTTCCACCTCACTCTCTCTCTCCCCCTCTCTCTCTCCGCATACCCAGTTCTACGCCAGCTGCTACTACTTTCAGGCCGACTGCCCCACAGACGGTGAAAGGGTGTTCTTAATTATTCGCTACTAGAGTTCTACCGGAGATGTGAGTAATGGTCTCTTCGCTAGAGATGACACATGTATAGATGCGGCGACGGTATAGAGAAGGACCCCACTTAACTGTGGATCGTGCCATGTGGGGCTGTATCTTGACATGAATTTGCAGGCTGTTGCAGAAATTACACTGCCAACAACGCTTACTTCCCACGACCTCACACTTTAACTCAAAATCCGTTATCTTGTGGAATTTACTTTTTGTTTATTTTTTAATTACTACTCTCATTCCCGTTGTCGTGCAATGGCGTAGGATAAGACTTCCGGCCCAAATTCAAGCAATTTCTGTGTCTTCTTCCATTTTGTCAGCTTACTATCCCGCGTGCTGCCACACCCATAAAACTCCCTTTACCATAACTCACGTATGGCACGATCCACAGCCTACCGACAGTTAAGTGGGGTCCTTCTCTGTACCGTTACTATTGGCGTTCACAGAACAAACTGCAGGAGTTACCGGATAAAAACTTAGACTACATACTCACGGTTAATTTCCGTTTACTTACTGCTCCATCTCCAAAGCCCATTGAAAGCAACCGGTCACATGCGCATACAAACGCACTGACTGTAAACGGTAGACAAGTCGCGTGATGGTACACTTGCACTTTTATGGTTCGACTGTCACATGTGCCGAGGTTAAACATTTCGCGAAGAAGTGGACGTGGCCGTGACTTTCGCTGCATCGACCTAACTCTCCTCTCCCTAACTTACCTTGCTCTGGCGTCAAGGCAAAGTCAAGTAGTCTGAGGTGTACGTGGGCTCAGTGAAGGCTAAAGAGGCCCTCTACGCGTCTCACACACACGACCTGGCCCACAATTCAGATTAACTGGCCACACGTGTCAATTCCACAAATGCTCTAAAACACATAAATGAGGAGCGGGATTTCTAATACTGCAATAAATTCATCAAACGTCCAAGTACGTTAGTTGAGAAAGACTTCTACGGTCCCCTGGAGAATAGCTGTTCTGACGGCAGAGATAATGTCTGTGAAAGAACAACCTTTCCGTTGGTTGTCTTCGAGACAGCCTGATATAGGCAGAATGGCACTACCGACAAAGACAAGGGAGACCGGAATGGTCATTTCTGGCTTATTAGCCGTCGACAGCCAGTCATGCCCAACCCCGAAGTGTGGAACATCTGGGGTTCGATCTCGCGACCTGTTAGTTAGAAGTCCACGCCTCTAACCACTGGGCCACGAGTCCATTGCCCTGTCGGTTTTCGATCGGGAATGTACAATGGTAGGGGGCGCCATTCTGCCTATATCACGCGCCGCTGTGCGGCTGCTGGTTGGGCTCGAGAGAGAGAGAGCTCGTAAGGCACAACGGAACGAGTGAGGTCCGTATCGACGATCGTGAGCGCCCCCTACCACAGCCTGATATCTTTGACAACTTTTCGCATTCTTCACGTTGGCATTCAGAACGAGTAGAGGACTACTGGGCAGAAGCCTTTCAGTGCACTTTGTTGGCGTCGTACTGACGTGTGCAATATTTCATCCCAGGCACAACAGTCTAACACTACGTGCCGTCTTCCACAAGTGAGTTTCACACGGCGTGCCTTGCGTACGCTGTTCGTT